CCCCACACACACACCATCTTTACTAACATCTACGTTAATAATAAACCGCATTCTTGGCATGAACATGTGTCATTTTATCACAGCTCTATTTAACGCGATTACACACATGCATAACTTAAACCATAGACAGACTCACACACTGATATACGATAAAACCCTCACAGGCACTGACAGGTAGATCATTGACACTCATTCACACACACTAACGCTCATTTACATACCCATAGGCACAGAACTACTCGGACAGGTGGGAACAAAACACCTCCTTTCAGGAGGCAGATGTAGAGAGAACATATGCAGACAACGGCTCCCTGTTAAACAAATGGGGCTTTTTTTCTTTTCTTTTTTTTTGTCGTCCTTTAGATTTTACCTTGCGAGGCGCTGCCTTAAATTTAAAAATTAATTTGACTTTGTTTATGCTTTGGTTGTTTGACAATCGGGGAAAGATTCAGATTCATTCTTACCAGATCTGTGATTCTTCTAAGACCCGGAGTCTTCTAAAAGTCTCTTTATTCATCTTAAAAGATATGTAATTTTTGTCTTCAGTGAAACTTTTGAAGTATTAGTCTACAGTGGAAATGCCTGGAAAAAAATAATTTACAGGTACCGACTGTAAACAAAACACAGTATCAGCAGTCCTAGAAGTAAATGGTATGTTGCTCTCTAGTTTAACTTTGTGCACCAAGCATTTAATTTACTTTTCCAAAGTAACCTGCATTGTATTTTCTAGGTCAGAATGTTATTATTTTGTTTCCTTAACAAAACAGAATTCACTGGTTTCATCCATCTGGTTTCTTGCTCCTGTGTAGTAAAGTGTGTGATGTAATACATACTACAGTCACATCCCTACTAACTTGAAATACAGCCATAATTTAGCACTATTACTATTTCTTGCATTATTTATGTATAAAATTTTCAAACTTGAAAGTCTTTCCAAATTACATAACTAATTTATTGGGAAAGCTTAGCAGGGAAACCATCCAAATGCTCTATGTCTCCAGGAATACACAAATGAATGCATAGAGGAATTTTAAACGGGTCACTTCTTAGGGTAAGTTGCACAAAAATATAATTTTAAGCAATGTTTTGTTTCTCAGTGATAGAACCTTATGCTTTCTATACATTTTGGTGGGTTGTTGTTTTTTTGTTTCTCTTTTGCAACATTTCAGTAGCTACAGACTTACTACTTTAAAGCTTTTTTCCCCTCTCCATTTTATCCCAAATAAGGGAACATCTGAATAGTATGTACCATAAAAGTATAGTCTCATTTTACAAAATTGTTCATTGTTATCCTCTCATTTAAAATGTTAGCAAAAATCCCCTCATAACCACAGTGTTCCCATAAGAGAACCTACCCACAAAACAGTATATATATATATATATATATAAACCACCATGCTGGCTTAGGAATGAGATTACTGCTTTCATAAGAGGATAAAATAAACTGTTCAGCCTTGTAGTTTAATAAAGACTTGGATTGTTGCTTTAGGGGAAAAACAATGCAATGCTATTAGCATGCTAAAAGTTTTTTAAAATTGCCTATTTATTGTTTTACTATTAGTGATTTCATTAGTCACATTAGTGATAAATGTTTTATAATAAATATCAATCTATCTAGCACAGTAAATTTACACAGTATTTTAGTGGTTAGAGTCAGTTATAGTTTAGTTAGGTAGGTGCCGTGCAAGCCTTCCTACACACATCGACCAAAGCAGACGTCATGCCTGACAGCAATTTCCCTCTTTTCCAGTCTAGAGCAAACTGTGAATCATACCAAACAGTTGTAGTTTAGTAATATCAGCAAATATACTGTGAGAACTAAAATCCATTGTCATGTGTTACCTAAGCAGTGTTTTAAGTTCTGACTTCTAAAGGTGAAAGGCATTAACTGTGCATTAACTCAGTGTCCCACAACCACTAATTAAAAGAAAATGTTTTCAAAATTCTTACCCATAACTGAAATACTGTAAGTGCTTACAAGGCGTCAGCTATGCTCTGAGCCTGCATCACTGACAAACTGTCAGTGTAATGAATAGTCTTGAAGACTGAAATACATCAAAATTTTATTTAATATAAGTTAAAAAAACCTAAATATAATGGCACTGAAGTACATATACTGGAAATACAATTACTAACAGTGTATCAATAACAATATAAAGAAATTCATATAGAATAATCATCCTTTCTGCTCATACTTAGAGGTGATCAAAGGGATGTGAGGCTCAAATCCTGACCCCACTGAAGCCAGTCACAAAACTCCATTGACTTCAATAGGGCCATGATTTCAATAGGCCCAAGTATGTAAGAGGAAGAAAGAAGTGTATGTAGTAATATTCCTCAAGAAAGCATGGAAGTTACTATTTATAAACAATGAGTGTTTGAGATTCTGTGCACCAAATTAATCTTTAATATGACTTTATTAGAGATGATTAAGGTATTAGGCTCTGCTTCTCCTAAAACACAAGTGGCTTCTTTTCAAGGCATCATACCATTTGTTAACTGTAAAAATTATTGTGGAATTTCCCATAGACCGTGGTGTTAGACATATTAAAATTTGTATTATGGGAGCGCTCAGGGCCGGCTCTAGGCACCAGCAAAACAAGCTGGTGCTTGGGGCGGCACATTTTTAGGGGCGGCATGGCCGGCGCCAGAATGCCGCCCCTAAAAATGTGCCCCGGCCGCCCTAGCTCACCTCCGCTGCTGTTGCCACGGCGCGCGAATCAGCTGTTTCGCGCGCCGCGGCGGCTCGGGGTCTCCCCCTCCCTCCCAGGCTCTCAAACCTGGGAGGGAAGGGGAGATCCCGAGCGGCCGTTTCGCGCGCCGCTGCTCCCCCTCCCTCCCAGACTTGAGAGCCTGGGAGGGAGGGGGAGAAGCGGCGCCCATGCCGCGGCCACTTGGAGTCTCCCCCTCCCTCCCAGGCTCTCAAGTCTGGGAGGGAGGGGGAGCAGCGGCGCGCGAAACGGCGGCTCGGGATCTCCCCCTCCCTCCCAGGTTTGAGAGCCTGGGAGGGAGGGGGAGACTCCAAGTGGCCGCGGCATGGGCGCCGCTTCTCCCCCTC